GTCTTTTCAGTGGATTAATGTTTAGATAATCTTTCAAATTTGGATCATATTTTATAGCTACATGTAGAAAATGCTTTACATTATCAAAGTTATTCATTTTATTTGTTACTTTATCTGGCTTCCTATACAAATCAACTCTCTCACCTCAGTTATCGACAATAAAAAATAATCGACATGTATCCATAACGATTAATTACGTGTCCGTTTAACAATAAATAATTAATCACGTGTTTATTTAATAATAAGTAAGTTTTTAACAGCTTATTTAACGATACTTGGATGTACAACTCAGTTAATTAACTGCTATTACATAACAGCCCGGCATGAGACAGTCCGATAAAAAAATAGGTTGGGATGAAACAGTCCAGGGTGAAACAGTCATGAGATGAACTGACCCACACCCATTCGAATAAACAATCTGTTTTTAAAAATATATCGATACTGCAGAAGGACATAATTAGTCTACTAAGTATTTTTCAATATAATACGCAATGTCTTGCTCAAGGTCATTAAACAACTGAAAATACAAGCACTATCCCACATATGTATTTCAATGAAATCATCACATGAGTCCAACATTTCATCTAGTATAAAATAATGTTGATGTATCATTATTTGAAGGGGGGTTGGGATGGCCTAGTGGTCTGAGTGCTGCGTTTCAACCTCTAGCTGGCCGGTCACCCCTGGCTTGCGGCTGTGGTTTTGATCTCTGGTGTGAGCGTACATGTATGTGGCGTGGTGGAGATAGGGGCGCCTTCTTAACCTCGTGGGTTTACTCTGGTTTCCTTCCACAGGAAAGACCCCTGCACTTGCGTTAAGATAATAAAAATGAAAAATAAGACTTGTCTGCGATATCACCTTCGGTAAAAGCAGACGTTAAACACTAAGAACAACAACAACATTATTTGAAATAATGTACGGACAACTTTATACTAGATGAAATATTGGACCCTTGTGACTGTAACGCATGTCATTGAAAATCAAGTGCAGGATAGTATCTGTATTCTATTTTATGGTCTTGAATTTAAGACATTGTGTAATATATTGAAACAACACTCGAGCTAATGCCTCTCATGCAGTATCGATATATTACTGATGAGCTCGAAATTAAAAACACCACCGACAGTGACAATTACGCTTCCTACTTGGATCTGCGTCTCGATTTTGACAATTGCCATAAACTGAGTGTTAAATTGTACGATAAACGTGATGACTTTGACTTTCCAATTGTTAACTTTCCATTTATTAGTAGTAACATTCCAATATTACCAGCTTATGGAGTGTTTGTGTCTCAGCTAATTCGTTACGCGAGAGCTTGTTCCTTTTATTCTGATTTTTTAAGTAGATCGAGGCATTTGTCATCTAAGCTTCAACTACAAGGATACTTGCGCACTAAACTTATTAAAACCTTTAAAAAGTTTTATGGCCGTCATATTGATTTGATTGGTAAATATAATGTGTCTCTCTCGGCTATTATTCTAGATATATTTAATTGACACGTATACTATTACTATCTCCCTGATAATATCTACTACATCGTTAACACAGTTCATCGCGTGCATTTTGCATACCGATAGTTCATTGGCCAATCACGCTATTTTACCGACATTTCGCCTAATAGTTTGGATGCAGCTATGGCGGGTGTGGCGCCAGGCAGGGTAAGCTTACTCTTCCGGACACCTGTTACCACTGTTTGTCATGTAATTTGTACACGAGAAGCAGTCCATTTGCTGATTACACTATTTTGCTTGAATACACTATTTTGCCTATAACGTTTTTTAGGACTTCGAATTCTGTCTTATGGTTTGGATTGTTCGTACTTGGTTTTATTTTATTTACTTAAAGTAGCTAAGTCCGTAACTCAATATCATCCACAATCTTCGACATTGAAAACACGATTTTTTTTGCAATTTAAATCAGCATTGGTGTTGTGGTCTTACCTGGAAAAGATGGGCTTCTGATATCCAATATTTAAGACAAAATAAACATTTTACCATTGGTCCACGAATCATGTACCATAATGCGTTTCAGCGCCATTTGTAACAAGGTGCTCAAAGAATGAGGCTAGACATATTCCACAAGTCATGTCAAATGGTGATGCCATTTTCTTATTTGGAGAGCATGCACAATATATACTATCGGTGTTGACTGGAATAACCAGACGCTAGAAACTGTCTTTCGGTTGAGACTTCTGGCATATTTCGCCGAACATAACTGATGACAATTCACAGTAAAACGGAAACGATTGAATGTAAAACAGTTTATATAAATTCATATTACATTATTATATGTGTTGCGACCGATTTGAGCCAATTTCTAGGCCCAAAATATTAGCAATTTATCTCCTTTAATGTCTCGCTTTTAACCATTAAACCACACAAGTTTTAAGACTGTGTCCTGTTCAACTTGTTTACTGTATAAAACAGTTGTTCCAGTATGAGATAATCAGATCTATTTATAAACTAACTGTAAGTAACGTGGCCATATAAAGCAAATCATCAATTTGATTAAAACACATCCTATTTCCTTTCCTTTTACTTGTCTTAACTACACTAGGATCTGCAAGATTTATAACCCGCGTTCTGGATGATGTGAGGGATTAGCCAATGAAACGGTCTGTTACAGCGAGTTTTTGCCGTGGGTAACCCACTAGAAACATTAAAGGACAATATTGGTGCCAATCATTATCACATATGTGATAGAGCTGGTTAAATACATTCCAAATATAATTTTAACCCAGAGATCATTGCTACGATAGCTGAGTAATACAGGTTTCCCGTATCGGAAGTGACGAACGCCAAAGGAAAACACGAGTCATACCTTTATATAACTGACTGATGTGACGAGTGATAACAGATACACGGCCGAATTTCTGCTCATGGGTTTTCTCCGGGCCCTCCGGTTTCCTCCCACTACTAAAGACCCCTGCGCACAAGCGAATTATTGAAATAAAATTAAACCATATGTTAGTCCCGAAATGACCTAGTCTCTCTCTATGACTTGAAACTCATGTGTTAATGACTTGAACACATAATACTGTGCACATCTTTTGTAGAAATAGCAATATGACATGTATACGGATTCAATGTTAGGGTGCCCCACCATATAAATAAATATCTCCAAATATCTCAACAATTACACCAAAATATTTATATATATATATACCAAGCCTTAAATCAGTTTCACACATTTTTAGTCACTAAATAAATGGTCATGTTGTACTTTATAAGCTATGACCATTTAACCATCCATAAATAATAAACAAAAAAATGGGTACCAGTGTCGGCCATAACATCCGTGCACTTTTGAGTAAAATATAGGTTACACAGCACACGATCTTGGGTAACCGTGGGTAACCCACTAGAAACATTAAAGGACAATATTGGTGCCAATCATTATCACATATGTGATAGAGCTGGTTAAATACATTCCAAATATAATTTTAACCCAGAGATCATTGCTACGATAGCTGAGTAATACAGGTTTCCCGTATCGGAAGTGACGAACGCCAAAGGAAAACACGAGTCATACCTTTATATAACTGACTGATGTGACGAGTGATAACAGATACACGGCCGAATTTCTGCTCATGGGTTTTCTCCGGGCCCTCCGGTTTCCTCCCACTACTAAAGACCCCTGCGCACAAGCGAATTATTGAAATAAAATTAAACCATATGTTAGTCCCGAAATGACCTAGTCTCTCTCTATGACTTGAAACTCATGTGTTAATGACTTGAACACATAATACTGTGCACATCTTTTGTAGAAATAGCAATATGACATGTATACGGATTCAATGTTAGGGTGCCCCACCATATAAATAAATATCTCCAAATATCTCAACAATTACACCAAAATATTTATATATATATATACCAAGCCTTAAATCAGTTTCACACATTTTTAGTCACTAAATAAATGGTCATGTTGTACTTTATAAGCTATGACCATTTAACCATCCATAAATAATAAACAAAAAAATGGGTACCAGTGTCGGCCATAACATCCGTGCACTTTTGAGTAAAATATAGGTTACACAGCACACGATCTTCCTAAGTGTGCCGCAAACTTTTGAACGGAACACTAAGAAAATTGGAAAAAACGTGATCCCAATTGAGTATTCATTGGTGTCTACAAAAAGTTCATATCTGTGTTTTTCTTGATTTAGTTTTAGTCATTCTTTGTGTCTATGACTAATCGCTGTCTACAGTTCCATGCCGTCTCACTTACCATGTTTTTATTTTGCAAAATTCAGATATTTTTCATACAACTTTAGCCAGGTGTGCCACTATTTTTTCATGTGTTACAAGGTGTGCCGTTGGCAAAAAAAGGTTGAAAACCACTGATCTAGATTTTTGTAGTTTATATTTATTAATAAATTTCCTAGCCAAGACAAGTTTTCACCTCAATAAACATGAGTTTGTTGTTCTTTAATTATATAAGTCACTTTGGGGTAGAAAATTATAAAAAAAAGCCATTAATAATAGAATAGTGTATATCGCCTATTGTGATTTGATAATAGAAACCTGTAATTCGGCTAGACCATCTAATTGGTTTATAATTAATAATAATAAAGTTTATATAATATATCAACCATACGTACAAAAACAGTAGACCACTGCATAAAATGTTTATTATAATTTATAATAATAAAGTTGATATAATATATCAACCATACGTACAAAAACAGTAGACCACTGCATAAAATGTTAATTATAATTAATAATAATAAAGTTGATATAATATCAACCCTACGTACAAAAACAGTTGACCACTGCATAAAATGTTTATTATAATTTTAAAGCAAGATGTCAAGTATCAAACTGTTTCTGTTTTGTTTTTTGGATGATAACACAATTGAATAAGCTATAGACACATCTTTGCTAGATTATACAAGTAATACATGATGACGTCCACTCTTCTTAGCTTTCTGCGATAAGGAAATGTCGAAAGTTTGACCAAGAAAATTAACAAAGCTTTTTACAAGACAATATACTTACAAAACAACCGGTCAACGGATGGTAGAATTTGTAATTCCTTTGGTTTCAAATTGTAACCTCTACCTAAACGCCGAAGCGATGTTATTTCAAGATAGATTTCACAGAACCCATTTACACTTTTAGCTACAGATATCTTGCGAATCTCGACATACTGCCGGAACTTACGTTCTGTTGCTAAATATAGTAACAGGGAATGACACGCTCGACTGTGAAGGGTGTAACCCCGACCAATATATCACAGTTTGGACCTGAAATAAATAACAACGTCATTAACAAGAAATACCACTCTATTTTGCAATAATTATATTTTTATCCCATGACCATGTTTTAGGAAAGGGGAAAACATGATAAATTAAATGAATGGCTAGGAGGAAATGAAAGAATTACGTTTTTGTAAAAAGAAATGAATTAAAATATATAAGATCTTGGTTCCTTTCGATATTCGCGCATATCGGACCGTAACTTCCTGAATTATGGCCCCTGATTGTACGTAAAATCGCATTTTTAGCTTGTGGACCCTATAGAGGTCATGATTTTTTATCCGATTTAAAAAAAAACGTATTATTATATCACCGTTACACCCTAAGGATAGCTGAGTTCGAATTTCGTGAAAATCGGCCCAAAATTGACAGACAAAATGGCCGCCGTTCGTTGTCAAATAGCGTAAAAATATGGTATATCAAGGTTGTGGACACTATAGAGGTCACAATTTTTATCCGATTTTGTTGAAACTCGAAATGTAAGTTTATAACCCAAAGATTTCGGTTCCTTTCGATATTCGCGCATACCGGACCGTAACTTCCTGAATTATGGCCCCTGCAGGGTTGTACGAAAAATCGCGTTTTTAGCTTGTGGACCCTAATATAGAGGTTATAATTTTTATCAGATTTAAAAAAACGTATTAGAACTGCTCTTTTCATTTTCTTTGTTTTATTTGTTTCGTTTGAATTTGATTTATCAGTTTAGTTTTTGATTGTTTGATTTTTGTTAATGAAGTTGATTCTTTTAAACTTCGTTTTTATTTTTGAACTCTACTTGGTGTAGGTGTTCATCAGGTAATACCTCGACTGAGTTCAATATAGAGATTAGCCGGTTGATTTGTTGGATATAAACCTTTGAATAATAGCGCCTAACAGGCAGCTGTGTTTAATTATGTTCTCCTGATTTTGATTGTTTTTGTGTGTTTGAAGTATATGTATGTGATATGCACTTAGAAACACTTCACGTGTAATGAAGCGCTATATAAATCGAACAATAATAATAATAATAATAATAATATATATCAAAGAACTCGATTTTTTTAAAAAATTAATCTTAAAAATAAAGATTAATATATACACTGGATTAAAAAAAACATGACAAGTGTAGTGATTGAATGATTGTTGATTTATTATATGCATTAATTATTTTAAAAAATCGAATTCTCCAATTACATGACGACAGACGTTATATATTTGAATCGCCGCTATCAAGGCAAAATTAAACCAGCGGCTGCCAGGCAGGATACGCCCACATTTTCGAAAGATGGATAGAGAACAAGCTAACAACTTTGAAAGTGATTTTTCCTACAATCAAGGGCCATAATTCAGGAAATTACAATTCGATATGCGCAAATATCGAAAGGAACTGAGATCTTTGTGTTATAAACTTACATTTCAAGTTTCAACAAAATCGGATAAAAATTGTGTGACCTCAATAGGGTCCACAACCTTGATATACCATATTTTTATACGCCCAGATTTTCATGTGGACGTATTATGCCGTCGCCCCTGTCCGTCCGGACGGCATAATACGTCCACATGAAAATGTGGGCGTATAAAAACCTGACCTCAAAGCACGCTGCTGATCTCGCTCGTTTTCATTTTCACGGTTGGTTCAGAAAAATAGGACGTATCTATTTCTCTATTATATCCCGTTTCCATCCACTTCAGACGCTATAAGCGGGTATACCTTAACAAGCCAGTGCCACCTATAATCTTGGGATAAAAGCGAAAGATATCCTTTTTTTTTTAAAAAAAAAAAAGGCGACGTCGCCCTTCAAAACGCGACGGACCCTTTTATTAAACACGACGTTGCCCTATGATTCGTACGTCGAGTTTTATACCTTCATTGAAGGTGTACGTTTGACATATTATGCAACCTGTGTTTAAGAAAAGCGAAATTTCTTCTTCGAACTACATACGTATATAATGTATACTTCCTTTTTTGCGGGGGGGGGGGGGTATTTGTAGTTTTTTATACGCCCCCATTTGCACGTGGACGTATATTGTTGTCGCCCCTGTCCGTCCAGACGTCCGTTCACATTTGTTTGTGGGCACTCTACATGTCACAATTTTTATCCGATCTTGACGAAGCTTGAAATATGGCATTTATCGGACCGTAACTTCCTGGATTATGGCCCCTGACCACACGAAAAATCACGTTTTTAGCTTATGGTCCCTCTATCCGATTTTAAACACCGTTATATCACCGTGACACCCTAATGACGGCTGAGTTTGAATTTGAGAAAATCGAACCAAAACTGTCCAACTAAATGACAGCTCCTAGTTCTCAAATAGTATTCAATATTAAGGTCGCTATTTTTATTCGATTTTGATGAAACTTAAAATTTATGTTTATATCCCACAGATATCGGTTCCTTTCCATAATCGCGCATATCGGACATTAACTTCCTAGCTAGATTAATGGCCCCTGATTAGATGAAAAATCACGCTTTTAGCTTGTGGACCCTCTAAAGGACACAATTTTTATTCGATTAAAAAAAAACCCGTTACACCATAATGACGGTGGAGTTCGAATGTCGTAACAATCGGACCGAAACTGCCCGACAAAATGGCCGCTCCACGTTTATATCCCAAAGATCTGGGTTCCTTTCGATACATGCGCGTGTATCTCTATCCATCTCTTGCAAAATGTGGGTGTATCTTGCATGACAACCAACTGTTCGTTTTTTTTATTGGCGGTGCAGGGGGGGGGGGGTATATCTGGTTTCCTTCGATCGATATATCAATATTTATACTCCTATTGAATATGCATTATGGATTCTAAATCAGCAGAATAAAATGTAAAATAATGAAGACTCTCCAAACAAGAGAAATCAATCTATAAATAAAATAGAATTCATAAAAGGCGGTTTCAATGACGAGGTCGTGATAAAAAAAAAATGACGTTGCCTTTTGTTCCCCAAACTTAATACCCAGAGAGAGAAATGATGTTTCATGCCCACACGAAACAAGCAGGTCATTTCGGAACTAACACATGGTTCAATTTCATTTCAATAATTCACCCGCGCTTATGGGGTTTTATCAGTGGGAGGAGGTCGGAGGAACCAGAGAAAACCGATGAGGCTGGACAGGCGACCCTATTCGCTGTCACGTAATCGAAACCACCTGATGATCGAAAGCCCCCACCCCACCTCCTTAACATTGTGCCAGTCAAAGCGGCATTATGGCTGAAATAGAACAACATGATATCTGAATGATTTATAACGGCCAATGTTTCAGTTATTTGTCCTGAATATCGATTGCTAAATAAAATATAATATTAAATACCCTACTACGAAGTTACGAAGTTGATATTAGAAATACCCCGAGGCCGAAGACCGCGAGGGCTATTTCCAATATCGAAAAGGGTAAGTTGGTTGACATACACCTCGACCTGACTTTATATTAATGACATATGGTCATCATGCCATGAGATATGGACGATACTACCACGTGATGTTCAACTTTGAACAAGTCACGGTTTGACATGGTACCCACTTTCACCCGGTTCCTTGTGTACGTGAATCTATTTTATGTGATATATGTTTGTGCCGTATAAATCTATCTATCTATCTGCCACACTGACATACAAATTACCACATCAATCAGAAGTAAATATTCGCTATACATCACTGAGAGGGATGACATCGGTGCGGGTTAATTAGATGTAAATATTATTTTTTTTCCTTCTGCTCATTATATTTTAGAACATTTTTTTTTGATGTTATATTAGAAAAAAACTGAAACTAAAGGTGTTTGAAATATATTAGAAAAAATAAAAATAAAGTTGTTTGACATATTATATCTGGATAAAATATTTCCTAATTTAGATATTTTTTAGAAAACGAATGCTCAAGTGTCATTCTTTAATCACATATTTTCTTCTGTTGCCTATAATTATTGGATATAATATATGTTTATATTATACTATGTACTCGTGTTGTTTATGTTTTTGGAAGCCTTGGTGGCACAGTGGGTATTGCGTTTGCTCGCAAACCATGGGGTCCGGGTTTCCATTCCGGTGTTGAGTGACAAAGTTCCCAGGGATTGTCCAGCATTGTGTCCCTTTGTCAGTGGTTTAAGGGGCTGGCAAGGACAGCGTATAGTCGTTCGTAAGGGACAGAAATCGAGATCCCGGTAACACGCGTTTATTGGCGTTCTCGTTAAGCAGGGCTGTAACTAGCTCAGAGCAAGGGGGGGGGGGGGGGGCGGTAAGTGTTCTCAGGGGTGTTGTAAAATTGACGGACAATATATCTATTGTTTTTATGGTCGACAATTTTTTCACAGGGTGGGGGGCTTGGCCCCCCCTGTCTCCCCCCCCCCCCCCCCCCCCCCCCACTGGAGCCGATTTATTTCGGGGTTTGGGGAAGCTGTCCCCTTGCCGCCTTCCCCTCACCGCTAGATACGGACCTGGTGAGTCGACCCTAAGTCCAAATCAAATAGTCAGTCGAATAAACCGGTCGATGGCTTATTAAAATTTTGGAATCGTTTGTAATCAGTATAAGTTAAAGAAAAAACGCACTAATTCCAATATCTTTTATCATTGTTTTTGTTTATTTTTTACGTCCCCTCATGTTCAAATTTGATTGTTCAAATTAAAACTTTAAGGTGTTATCTTAGTTATTGCCACCGCGGCTTAATAAAGTCATGCTTTACTTTTTCCCTCATCCCCATATGACCCATCTTTTAAGTGCACGCCAATGTGTACACGGGACCTCGGTTTTTCGTCCCATCCGAACGACTAGACATCTGTCCTTGTCCACCTTCAAAAGAATAGAGTCCCTATATATGATATGCCCTAGTGCCGCTGTCCGGGCAAAATTTCCCTCATCGCACAGTGTATGGCGTATGCCTGTCTTCATTAGCCCAGTTCCAAGCAGAACAGTA